TGTTAATGAATTAGTAATTAGAGGTTAGTTGAATAACCATCTTGAAACTTGCATTTGAAACTCACTAGAGGATTGATAAAATCAAAGCTTCTCAACAACAAGTTTCATTTGCTTTTTGTCAAGTATATCATTAATTTTCAAAATCTCAAGGCAACAATAAATGACCATTGATGTTTAAATGATTCACTTTGACCAAAGCTTATAAAGATTCATTAGAGGATTGATAAGACCAAAGTCTCCTAATAATGGATCTCAAGATTATTGGATCAAAGGTTTCAAATTAACATGCTTGGACTTGAAAACATAGGTTTGGGCCACGAATGATTATTTCTCAAATCGGGACAAAATTTAGCGCTATGTTAAGCAATCGTAAGTGGACTTATATAGAAGTCGCACCTATTTTGAGGTCGGTCAATAGTAATTTATGTGCCATATGTTTGGAGAGATAATATGTATATTATCCTCTAACAACATGTAACACAATGAGAAGAGGATGAGATGAAGAGGGAAAGGATATGTTTGAAATAAAAATTTAATCAAACTAACATTAAAATCATTCATTCATTTTGGTGGAGTTAAACTCAACACTCAAGATCCAATGATGTTAATGAAGTACATGATCAAAAGTCAAAAGGTCAGAATATATACAAAAATAAAATTGTATTTAATAAATAAAATAAAATAAAAATGATTTTTAAAATGTTTTTAAAATGAAAATAAAAGGGAAAATAGCAAACTATACTAAAAAAATATCAAAGAAAAATTAAAAGAGACCATAGAAAAAATCAGAAATGACCTCAAATATTTTTACAAAATTTTTGGTATTTTTCAAACCAGAAAAGTATTTTTAAACTAATTAAAATTACTCAAATAAGTGAAAAAAAGATCAAAAATATAGAAGTCAAAATAAAATTCTAAAAAAAATTCAGAAGATTAGAAATAAGAGAAATAATTTTGATGAATTTTTTTTCAGAATTTAAAAATGTCAAAAAGTATTTTTTAAGCAATTAAAAACAAACCAAAACAAAGAAAAAATCATGGAAAATACCAAATCTGAAAATAAAATTATGTAAAAATAAAAATCCGAAAGAGAATATTTGAAAATATTTTTGTGAATTTTTCATAATTTTTGAGTCAGGAATGATTTTTCTATGATTTTTTGAAGTTTAAAACAATTAAATATAAAAAATTAGAAATAAAAAATAAAGTAAAAAAAATATAGACCATTGGATGAGAGTCAAAACACATTAGTAAGCTAATCCAATGGACCAGACGCGTTGTACATATCATGGCCCTTAATGAATAAAACGTGTGATCAACTATTAAATCAGATTTGAAAAAAATGTGTGGCAATTTCTCATTGGTTGAAGACGGACACGTAGGTCATCTTCAACCTCTGCCCACACGATTTGCAGGTTCATGAAATGGAAAAATTAGAGCTCGAGATTGGTACCATTCGCTTCGTCTCTTCAAGACGATTCCAACGGTACCCTCGCGAAAAATTTATGTAAGGTGTAGCTCAGTCGTTTCAGAAGTAAAATTTTGAAAAGGGATTTAAAAATTCATGGCCAAAACTCACTTCCAATTGAAAAAAATGTTGCGACGAGAATTAGAATGATGAGAGCTTCATTACAGTATCAAAGTTTGAGAGAATTGATGAAGGAATCTGCCTATTGAAGTTCAAATTCAGAGTTCTGAAACTTAACTTGGCTAGCACGATTTAGGAAGTCATAGAGCTTGGTTCTTCTTCTGATAGCTTAAGTGAAGTTCAATGATGAAGAATTGACAAAGAAAAGGGATTGAGGAAAGCTATAAAACCAAATTCTAAGTTGCAAAAAAGTGGGTTGAAGAGAGAGCTTAGCAGGGTGATTCTGGCTATCTAAGCTTGAGAAAATGAATGAGGTATGTCCCCCTATTTATAGGGAAGCTAATGGAATGCTTAAGCGTGTGAAATAATTAAGTTTGGAGGGAAATCATGTGAAGTTACAAACATGAAAAGTGTGACTTCTATTTTGCTCAAAAATCAACCAAAACTTGCGTGTCAAGGTGCTAATCACTTCTGGAAGATTGCTAACCATGATTAGAAGTAAAACACGCATAAATTTTGTGTTTAGAGGCCAAATCATGAATTTCAAATTCTGACTTTGGAGGAAACTTCAGTCTCAAGGTACCATCTTTGAATCAATTGTGCGCACGATTTAGGGAACCTTAGGACTTGATTATTGATGCATTGGAAAGATGAGATCACAAACTTTACAGTATGCAAGGAATGGAATGAAATGGATGATTGAGCTAAAAGTTGTGGTGAGTCAAAGTTGGAAAAAAATGTTGACTTTTTGTACTTAGAAAAATTCTAAGTTTTTCTTCAAAAATGACCTATAATGTCTTGCATCCAAACATGGTCTTTTATTTAAAATTTTCTCTTGACCCAAAAGATGAAATGAAGTAGATATCTTGAATGACATTTTGAGACTTGAACCATTTAAAAACTCCAAAAATTGAGAAAGTTATGACTATGTGAATTTGGTGAAAATTCATGAGATGACCTATAATACTTTGCACCTTAGGGTATCTTCCATCCATTTTCAAGCTTTGCACATAAAATAAAAGTTAAAGTTCACACATTTAAGATAATTGTGGAAAAATAATGGGCTCAAGGAGATAAAAAATTGACCAAGTTATGATCTTTTGAAGTCACACAAGGGAATTTGATGGCCTATCTAGAGAACTTGTAATCTTTCTCAATCATTAGGCATATTACACATAAAATTTTCTTGAAACTTTTGAAGTGATTTATTGATAACCCTTTAAAGAGAAACATGTCTTTGGAATCACTCAAAAATACCAAAATATGAGTAAGATATATCCCTTAGAAGTTCAAAACCCTAGCTCCTAGAGCAATAAAGTGCTTTGGAAACCCTTTTCAATTTTGACAAAATTTCTTGCACAAATACTTTTGTCATGTAAATAGAAGTTGTTGAGGATAATAATGGGAAACCATATAAACCATAACCACTTCCAAATATTAAGAATTGAGGGAAAATGCACTTGTGACCAAGAAATCAAGAACTTGTCCAATTAGGTCAAATTTCTTCAACCAACCCTTATATCTTTGAACTATCTTTGACAACTTGATGCATGATGAATCATAATAGACTTTTTCATGATATTACTTCAAAATATCTTCAATGATGAGGCTTGAATCTCAATGAAGCTTTGTTGAAGAAGGCATGGAAATAAACTCATGAACCTATAGATCAACTTGATGAAATGTGTTGTGCTTTCATATATAATATCATCAATTAGGGCAAACATTCATTGTATTTATTAGTTAAAAGTTAATCAATACAAAATATAGATGATCACAATATACAAGTCAAGGTGCTTGGTGATTCCCCATGAGCAAACTAAAGATAGGGAGAAGAACCAAACCCTAGTGTGATATTGTTGTGACTGAATTGACATGAGATGATAGAGGGATCTTAGGGGCAAAAATTGGATTACAACACATATGTAGAACTTTTTTGTGGACAGAGGGTGTGGATATTAGTAACAAGAGTCCAGTTTCTTGGACTAATGTTTGTAAGCATGTGAAAAATGGAGGATTAAATGTCATTGAATTGGAAACTTGGAGCATTGTTTTTATGATGAAATTGCTTTGGAATATCTGCAGGAAAGCTGATAGCTTATGGGTCTGATGGGTACACATATACTATTTCTAAACAAAGAATGTGATGAAGATGAATATAAAAGTGGATAGCTCCTAGACAATGAAGGCTATCTTGTAACTCGGTTCCAAGGTAAGTGGGATGGCATGATAGAGAAAAAGAAATTTCATATGAATACTATATATCATGGATTGAGAAGTGATGATGTTGTGGTGATGCCTTGGATGACCTTCTGTGTCACAACGCAACTAGACTAAGATCCCTTATGACTCTTTGTCTAGATTGCCACCAAAGGCTTGCAACAAAGGAATGGTTAATGAGGCATGGGCTGATTGAGAATAACACTTGTTGTTGCTGTAATGCGGAGAAAACATTTGACCATTTGTTCTTTGAATGTGTTACTATGAAGAATGCTTGGATGAATGTTCTTAACTGGCTCGAAATTCACCAAGTCCCAAAAGCATGGAACCATGAGTTGTTGTGGATTATACAACATGGTATTGGCAAAGGGAGGAAGGCAACACTGCTTCGCCTTGTTGCAAATGAGACGATATACAGCTTATGGAACTATAGGAATGCCAAGTGCTTTGATAAAAACATATATACTAATACCATAGGATCTAATATTATCGATATGATAACGTATAGGGATTGATATAGTAATAAGTGTAAAGCTCACATTGATAAGTTGATGTTATACTTTTTTTTCTTCGTTTGGGTTGATTCTCTTTTGTCCATTTGTTAGAGTGAGGCTGGATCACTTGATCGCTAAATTTGTAATTAAATTTTTTTAAATTAATATATCTTAATTTATTCAAAAAAAGGAAAATAATTACAATCGATTTTTATGAAAAATTATTTAAAATAGCTTTTTAATAAACATTTCTTAAAACTTCATTACCTAAAAAGTCATATAACAATAATAAAATATTTAAAATAAATCTTTATAAAAAAAATAAATCAATTTTTCATTTGAAGTCTTCTTTAGAAAGTATTTTTAATATAACAAAATGATCAAACATTTTTAGTAAAAGTGGTAAAAAAAATTACTATAACAAAAACATTAAACATTCTATATATAAAATCAGATTTTCTTAAAAAGAAAAAAAACTTTTAAAAATAAATTTTTATAGATAAGTCTAAATGCAATTGATTTGATGGTAGGCGAATAGGGATAGTCACCAAATCTCCGTCCAAGTGCAGTATGAAGGTTTTCCTCATTCAGTCACACACCCGTCTTGAAACTTGAAACTTGAAACTTGAAACCAAACACTTCTTCGTTAAAATCGCTTATAATTCAATATCGAATTCACTACCACTAGATCGATCATCATGGAAGGAATTGAGCACAGAACAGTTGAAGTGAATGGAATCAAGATGCATATCGCCGAGAAAGGAAAAGAAGGACCGGTTGTTTTGTTCCTTCACGGCTTCCCTGAACTCTGGTACTCATGGCGCCACCAGATTGCCGCTCTCGGCTCCCTTGGTTACCGTGCCGTGGCTCCGGATCTCCGTGGCTACGGGGACACGGAAGCTCCCGCTTCGGTAAGTAGCTATACGATCTTCCATTTGGTGGGAGACATAGTTGCGCTCATCGACTCACTCGGTGTTGATCAAGTTTTCCTTGTGGCTCATGATTGGGGTGCTATCATTGGTTGGAATCTCTGTTTGTTTCGCCCTGAGAGAATCAAAGCTTATGTGTGTCTGAGTGTTCAATTTTTACCGAGAAACCCTAAAATCAAACCTGTTGATGGCATGCGAGCTTTGTTTGGTGATGATTATTATATCTGCAGATTCCAGGTTCGTGTTTGCGTTTTCATTATTAATTATTAAACTTTAAATATTTTTAATTGAGTTAGTACTATTGTACTATTACTATCTTTCACTTTTTAGTACCAAACTCTTTAGTACTATTGTATTTCTTTTATTGAGCATAATCCAAAATCAAGACATGCGACAGGAACCTGGAAAAACAGAAGCTGAATTTGCAAAAAGCCCAGAGTTAGTTATGAAGGCCATGCTTACAGGTAGGAGTGGTAAGCCACTGATAATACCCAAAGAAGGCTTCTTAGCTTTTCCAGAAGCTATAAGAACAAGGCCCCTCCCTTCTTGGCTCTCACAACAAGATATCGATTACTATGCTTCTAAATTTGAAAAGACAGGATTCACTGGTGCCCTTAACTACTATAGAAATTTCAACTTGTAAGTCCCTATTCTTATGTCTATTATTCACATGCAATTTATATTACTATGTTCATGTACAAGATCCTTTTTAAGGGCGTGGAACCTGTGTAGGGTTCAAAATTTGTCACAATTAATCTGTTGTTAAATATAACTTCATAAAATATTGTCACGCTTAAATCATAACTAAATAAGACCTCTATTTATTTTGTCACGATTAAACTTAAGCTAACTTATACAATGTTTCTAAAAACTTGAGACGACTCTCATCATGTGTATCTATTATGCTTACAGAAACTGGGAGTTGACAGCAGCATGGACCGGAGCGCAAATTAAAGTACCTGTGAAGTTCATCACAGGTGATTTGGATTTAGTTTACCTTTCTCTTGGTTCGAAGCAATACATTGAGAGTGGTAATTTCAAGAAAGATGTGCCAAATTTGGAGGAAGTAGTTATACAGAAAGGTGTGGCTCACTTCAATAACCAAGAAGCTGCTGAGGAAATCAGTAATCACATTTATGAATTCATCAAGAAGTACTAGTTTTGATCTTAACAACTCAATCTACTTTGTACTTGTAGTTGTGCTATTAGGGGAACTTATTTGTTCTAATGAATTGGAAATTCCTTTGTTATGTTTTTCTTTGCATGATCAAGTACTTATCTCTACTCAATGGTCAAAAATATATAGATATCATCATGCCATTTAGGTTCTTCTTTAAAATCTCTCAACAATAATTAGACGTTAAACTTAACTTTTTTTAAAGCTTCGTATCTGATCTTGTGACCGGCAAATTTAAAGGGATAATTCAACCGTCCATTTGTGGAGATTTCATTTAAAGTTAGAGAAAAATTTTGTATTGACTGACCAACACATAAAGTGTTAGCACCTAGTGAGTTCGAACCTGGAACTCTAAGAAATGCACAATTTGAGACCTAAACCTTCACCAGCATGTCCTACCGTGGGGCTGACCTTAAACTTAGTTAGTTATTAGTTTGTTAGGATAGTTACCTATCTATACTCTACACTATTTATTTTCTAATTTAGTTGTGTGATTGTTATGTTAGTTATTTTATCTCACGACCCTCCATTCTCATTGTAACTTTTAACTGTTTTTTATTTCAAACTTTTAACTTTAGTAAGAAAGTTTAATGAGGATGAGTAATATTCAAATGTTTTTTTTTAGTGATTATATGTTTTATCTTAAACTTGTTCATTTATTCATATAGTATCGGGTGAATTTAAACTCTGATTTTTTTAATTATTCGTTTTCATTTTTTCTTTTACTCATTCTTTTGAGTTCACAAACAAGAACCAAGTCTTATGTAAGTGAAATTGGCTACATTGATCAATTTTCGCTATAATGTTCTATCTAAAATCATGTTTTCATCCAAATTATTAATTTCAAGATCTTTCTTGATATCTTATCTTATAGTTTTTATAGGTCTTCATCTATCTTTAGTTGTTTGACTTCTTTTCATCTAAACTAATCTACTTACCACATATCCTACAGGACTTTAATCTACATGTCCAAACCATCTAAGTCTATTTTCCATTATCTTTTCTATTATGAGTGCTACCCCAACACTCCCTAATATTATCTTTTCTTATCTTATCCTAATCCTACCACATATCCAATGCAACATCATATATGTTAAACTTACATTATTTTCGTATTGATTCTTAATGGCCCAGCATTATGTCTCGTACAACATTGCACCACAATCCGATAAAATTTTCTCATCAACTTGAGAAGTACCTTTGTCACATAAAATCCTGAAATCCCTCCTTTATTTCAGCCACCCAATTTGAATTTGATGTTTTACATTCCCTTCTATTTCTCCATCGTTTTGTATTACCAACCCAAGGTATTCAAATGGCGTGACTTGTGAGATTATATGGTCTCAATCTTTTATCTCTAGGTTAGAAATGCCTCTTCTTCTATTTAACTTACATTCTGTATATTTCATTTTACTTTTGTTTAGACGAAAGCCACACATTTCTAAAATTTGTCTCCAAGTCTCCAACCTCTCATTTAAATCATCTTCCGACTCTCAAAGTCGGACTATATCATTTGCAAACGACATGTATCTCAGTACTAGTTTTGGATGTGTTCCAAGAGCACATCCAAAATTAAAGGAAAAGGTAGAGCTTATGATTGAAGCTTGATGCAAACTTATTTTAATGGGGAATCATTTATCTTTTCACGCTGTGTATGCACACTAGTCGATACTCTTTCATACGTATCTTGAATAATTCGAATATATGCAATCCTAACCTCATTCTTCTTTAGGGCTTTCCAAAAAAAATCTTTCTAGGAACTCTATCACATGTCTTCTCTAAATCAATTAAATTTAAGTGTAAGTCTTGTTGGTCCATCTGATACTGTTGTATCACACGTTGTAGTAGATAAACCACTTCCATGGTTGACCGCCCAAGCATAACACTAAATTGATTCTCAAGGACTTTAGTCTCTTTTCTTAGTCTTTGTTTAATCATTTTCCCCATAACTTCATGGTATAACTCATAAGTTTAATTCCTCTATATGAAGAAGATGTTCATCATTTATCTTAGTTTAGTTTTGATGAAGAGAAAAGCTTATCAAAGAAGAAATAGTTTGAAATAAAAAATCAAGAATGCATAAGTTTTGGATATTATGAAAATAAAAAGAATTAATCATGAAATAAGGTAGAATAGAAATTCATTATGTATAAACTTTAGATGCTTACAAAAATCTCATTCATTCATCTTTAAGGTTTCTAAAACATTTATAAATTAAGACATTTCACGCCAAGTCTTTTAAAAACAAAAACAAAAACATTTTTTTTTTAAATTATGGCATCTGAAACCACCATAATGACCTTTTAGAAACTGTCGTAATTTTTAATGCACATTTCAAGCAATCGATTATTTGTTTGCTATTGCCTGACAAAAGTGGATATTTTAGAAGTGCCAATCGAATAATACAAGGGGACAATCGATTGTACGATCTTTTTTCTTTGAAAATTTGATCTTACAATCGATTGATCAAGTTAAGCAATTGATTGATCCTTTGTATTTTTGTCAATTTTTTTAACATTGCAAATAGGACAATCGTTTGATCAAAGAGTGCAATTGATTGCTTCCTAAAGCTTTGTGAAAAATTTGAATCATTGTGATGCATGTACATTGTAATTGTTCATGATCTTTCCCATAACATTGCACCAAATCAAATGCATCTTGAGAAATATTTAAAACAAATTTTATTTGATTTTTCATTCACCTCTTTCACACAATATTCACATATAATTTAAAATAATTTCAAATTGTTCATACATCATAAAACAATGAAACTATGTGCATAAACTTTCATATTATTAAAAATCTTTCATTCAAATTTCTGAGCACTTAAGGTTTATATATTATTGAATTGTACATTGACAGAGAAGATCAATTGTCTATTGAAATTGATTCAAGAATAACTTCATATATTCAAATTTGTTCAAGTATTGTAATTGATCACCAAGTGTATGGTGACTTAACTTATAAAGAAAATCAGTGTACTTTCTATAAGTGTGTGCAAATAGAAAGTGGTATACTTTTTGTTTGTGTTGTTAAAGGTTCTTTGATTCTGGGAAATTCAAACTCCGCCGTACTGTTGGTTTTTGTGAAAATGTCATTTGAATTCGGTTGATTTAAAGTCTCTGATTTCTCCTAGGAAGACTTTGTTCATCATGCGCTGATAGGTAATGGCTGCGTTTTTCAGGCCGAATGGGCATTATGTTGTAGTAATAGTTTCCCGATTCAGTCACGAGTGATGTATATTTTTTGTTTACTTTTGCCATGGGGATCTGGTTGTATCCAGAGTACGCGTCCATGAAAGATAGTAATTTAAAACCTACAGAATTATCGATCAGTTTGTCGATGTTGGGAAGGGGATAAGCATCTTTCGGGCAAGCCCGATTGAGATCGATATTATCAATACACATACGCCCATTTCCATTAGATTTTTTAACAAGGACTACATTTGAGAGCCAGGTTGTGTATTGGGCTTCAAAAATAAAATTTTCCTTTAAGAGGTATTTTACAGCCTGTTCGGTAGCCTCCATTTTTCTGGAGACTGTTTTCGCCTACGCTGAGCAACCGTCTTAATGGCATGACCTACTGTCAAATGATGACAAGCTATTTTTGGATCCATTCCGGGAATTTCTGCTGCACTCCAAGAAAACATATCAACATTCTCCTTCAGGCATGCTTCCAGTTGTCTCTTTTCCAGGTCGAGAAGGTCGGCGCAAATCTTCACTCCTCTAGAGGGATTGCTCCCGAGGGGAACGATTTTGAAATCCTCGTTTGGGATTGGTCGCATGGGATGTGCAGGATCCTCTCTACTTGTCGCTGGGGATACACTTTCTCCTTCGATCATGGACTTTTTTCCCTTTCTCTTCCGCTCTATGAAGTCTTCTTCCGAGAAGCGGTTGTCCAGGTTGATGGTGTAGACTAGTGGCAGTGACCTAGATTCCTCGGAGCTGGTGGGTAGAGCGGGTCTGCTGGTCGTTTGGGGCTATACGCTAATGTAACTTAGGCCCTTGGTTGATGCTTCAAAACACCTATTTGCGGCTTGGATATCTCCGTGGAGGATGGAGACCAAACCTTTAGCGGTGTAGTACTTCATCTTTAGATGTACGATGGAGGGAACCACTATCATCTCGGCTAAACTTGGTCTTCTGAAGATGCACTGATAGAGTGACGGGCAGTCCACTACCATAAATTAGGTCCTGATGGCCCTGGTCGTTACGCCCTTCCCGAAGGTAACAATCAGCTCGACGTATCCCCAGGTTTTGGTGACAGATCTGTTGAATCCCTAGAGATCTAAGCCTACGTATGAGGTTAGATGGGTCTCATTCAACTGTTGAATGTTGAATAGTTGGGTGTATATTATATCCCCCGAGCTGCCCTGGTCCACCAAGATGCACCGAACATCGAAATTCGCCATGTGTGCCTGTACAAGGAGTGGGATGCTCGAGTTAAGGGCCCTGCCTGGTAGCTCTTCCTGGTAGAATGTGAGGGGATGGGAACCTACTTTGAATTTTTCGAGGGTGGCGTCCATGTCAGAGTTGGCCTCTATCAGCTGGTCGAACCTCCTTTTTACTGAACCCACCGTGTATTTGTTGAATCCCCTGTCGGAGATGACCATTATCGTTGGGAAGGATTCCCAAGGACTATGCGAAGAGAAGTACAAAGAGACTTCTTCCATTTGGGGAAAGTAGAAATCCTCCAGTCTTTTGATGCTTATAACGACTGGAATGAGGCTTGTGTCAGGGGAGTCCTTCCCTTCTTTAACATTCTTGGCTTCTTGAGCTTCTTCGCGGGAACTCTCCTTTTTCTTGATTTATTTGAGATGCCCGTCCCAGATGAGTATCTCAATTGCATCTTTGAGGTGAATGCATTCACCAGTGTTGTGCCCATGGCTCTTATGGAACCTGCAGTATTTTCTTTTGTCCATCCCGGGCTTGGATGGTGTTTGGTGAGGAAAGTGTACCTCGACTTGCTTGAATTCTGAATTGACGCATTCTGTCAGAATATGCTCGTGAGGGCATTGAGGGGGTGTAGTCATGAAAATGACCAGCTCGCCCTCGCTGGTATTTAGAGTCTAGAGACTTATCTTCTCTCTTTTTCTCTCCTCCTAGATGGGATGTCGAGGGATCATCGTTCCTCGAGGCCTTGGCATTC